TCTTTTACGAAAATAATATTAATATATATTTTTTGAATTTGGATTTTTTTTTTTTCGTCCTTATGTCTTTCTAAAGTAAAGTTTCAAATATATTTTTCTCTTAAGAGGTCATCGGACTCTTTCTTGTTTCAATCTTGCTCATGACTTGGTAGTAATCATGAAGCGTCGAAAATAATACAGCTTAATTGTCTTCTAGAAGGCAACGACACTTGACCAAAAAAAAAAATTCTATTAAACTTTATTCTGTTTTTTAATATATATATACGGACAATTATTTCTATCGAGATCATAATTTTTTCTCTTTTTTTTTCCATTAATACTAAAAAAAAAAAAAAAAAAACATACTACTATATTTCATTATTCGCTTTTCTTCCGGTTCCTTCTCAGTTCACACACAAAACTTTGTGCCACCCGATCACCGCAGTGCCCGCAGAAACTTTTCCATCGAACTCTTATACATATATATATACACCTTAAAATAATTTCTTAAAGAAAAAACAAACACTGCTGATTTTTACAAATTAGGATTTTTACGAAGCTTGGCTTACTGTGCCTAAAGTATTATATAATATATATAAATATTCTCTTTCCTTTTTATATAAATAGGTTCCTTTGCTCTGAAATAATTTTCAAAAAAAAAAAAAATATTCATCTTCACAAAAAAAAAATACCATTATTCAGAAACCATTCTTACTCAGAAATGGCGCCAATGATGATAAACTTGGACCGTGTATACGGCGTTGCCGTTCATAAACTTCAAAACTCTTATGCAGCACGTGAAGGTGAATTAAGAAGATTCGTGCTGCTACATAACTTTATTCGTAAATTTGAAAACCATGATGATGATATAAAGAAAGATGAAGAAGATTGGCTTGATTCTTGCTTAGACGGTCTTGTTGAAGAAGAAGAGGATGGTTATGTATTCATTACAAAATCCAATGATGAATATAAACCATATAATGAATACAATGAATACAATGAATACATGGAATTGTTACAAAATGAAATGGACTTTGCTGAAGATGTAATGCCCCGAACCCTTGACTCTCATGAACCTACTCATTTTGATCCCGGTGGTGTCCAACGAATGGATATTGACTACGACGACGACTACGAAGATGAGGATGATGATGACGAAGATGACGATGTCGTCGATACTCCTTCAAATTCTCTAATTGAAGATTCTCCAATAAATTCTCCAATGGTGGATTTACCAATGGTGGATTTACCAATGGATTTACCAATTGATTCATACGGACCTCATTTCGAAAAAAGTCGAATGTTAACTACCGATGGTGATATAGGAAATGGTTATGGAACTTTGCATGATAAAGATTTTCACCCATATTGGAAAGATAATAGTATAATAGCTTCACCTTATCAAAATAATAGGTCTATCAGCATTCCACGAATATTTCAACGTTACCGTTTGTCTGATGTCCCTTCTCATATTAACACTAGTGCTTTGTTTGGCCTGTTGAGTAAAGATCCTCCTCAAAATTTATTAAAACGATCTAAAGATGATCTTGATATGCTTGGTTCCTTAAGTCACAAAGATATTGACCAAGGTGTTCTAATGGACATAATCAGTATGTTGGAATATCCACAGGGGTACCCACTTGGTGGAAAAACAAACAGTAATGTAGCTTCAAATGCAAATATTTGGTTCGTGGAAAACGATTGAAAAAACGTTGGTTTCTCTTTTTTTTTTTTGTAATTAATTTGTTATAAATAACCCCTCCCTACTTTACCCTTTGTAATTTTTATTTTTTTATTCCTTTTTTTCTTTTTGTTTATATATTATTTTTTTTCATTTCCCCTTTTTTTCTTTTTCTTTCTTTCTCAGTTTACAAATTTTAATATTCAATTCTCAATCAGTTTATACAGTAATATACAAATTCATTAATTCGTTTGTGTCTACAAATTCATTATTTTTTGTGATTCACAAATTTATTAATTTATTTGTTAGATTGTATAGATATTTGGTTTTTGGACTTTTGGACATTAAAAAAAAAAAAAAAAAAAAAAAAAAAAATGACAAAAAAAAACTAAAAAAAAAAAATTGAAAAAATATGAACTTTTAAAAAAAATTAGCGTTAATTCATGGTTGAAAAACATTTGCTATAATTATCTTTAGAATTACCCTTAAAAAAAAAAAATTCTTTTTACAAAAATAACGCCTAATTTTATATACTATTAGCGCTAGCTAGCTTAAGTTTTTTTTTTTATCATCTAATTCTCATCCCATTACCATCCTACTCTTGTACCGCAACTAAGATTTCGAGAAAAAAATCGATTTTACTACGACAAATAAAATAAAATAAAATTTGGGAGGTTTTTTTTTAAAATATCGTTTCCAGTACCAGTACGTACGTGATTTACGTAATGTTTTTATAAAAAATTCGTTATTTTGTTGTCATTGGTTATCATTTGATTGTCACATTGCACATAATAACAAAAATAACAAAAAAAAACGAAACATGAGCAATTGTTTTCTTTTGTTTTATCATCAATTAAGTGATTGTGATTGTTTTTTTTTCCAAATCATATGACAAAGCCCAAAGCCAAAGCCAAAAGGAAACGGTTTAAAAATACGCACGCACGCGTGATCAGTCGTGATCAGTTCACATCGGAAAGGATATTCCTTTCTCTGATCTATTCCTAATATGATAAATTCGGCCCTATCGCTATGTGCATTATGTACACAGAGGGTCAACGGGCATTAATTACATCCGTGATAAAGTCGATGTAGAAGATTGTCTGTCCCACCTAACGGTAAGTCCTACATAGTATGCAAGTCTTGCGTGATTCATTTTTATAATGCTGTAAATAAAACTGATCAAACACCTATTTAAGACCAATTAAAGGTCGAACTAATTTTATGTAAAGATCGATCAATGTTAAAAGAATTGGTATCGGTGAATAGTAATTTGTTGTTAATTGTTATTTGTTAAATTGTTTTTTCTTTTTTTAATCTTCACACAATCATGGGACCAAAACTTTATAAGGACATCGTCCTAAAAGAGATGACCATCTTTAACTTTTCAATTTTTCTTTTCTGATAAACTAAATTTACATGAAACAAAAAGTTTACTCCCGTGTTTTAAGATAACTGAATGAGGACTAATTAGAATGAATAAAAAAATTTCGAAATCTATATTGATATCGATAATAAACAATGTTAAAAAAAGAATACAAGACTTCTCTTATCGTATTACGTACTCGTACCACTTCAGATTTAATAAACCCCCCCTGAATAGAATAATTGTTATAAAGTTTAGTATTAATGTACGTACGTACACGTAGTATTAATGTATACGTATAGTATTAATGTTATTAATGTTATTAATAATTAACGTTATTTTAGTCGCATTTAGTCACGTGCATCATCGAGTAAAATTAGAATTTACTAATAATGCAGTAATGGTATAAACCTTGTTGGGTATGTGGGGATAAACTCAATTAATATATTTGGAGAATATATTTGGAGAATGTATTTGAGGAATATATTTGAAGAATATATTTGGAGAATATATTTGAGGAATATATTTGGAGAATATATTTGAAGAATATATTTGGAGAATATATTTGGAGAATATATTTGGAGATGAATTATTCTAAGTTTTTAAAATAAAATAAAATAAAATAAAATAAATACGTATACTTATAATTATTACTAAACTCAAATAATAACTTTTGTTATATAAATAAAAAAAAAAATCGTCCCATTTTTTAATTTTTTAATATTCCATTAAATTCCTTTTTCCATTACTTGCGGAGTTATGTATGTACGTATGTCATACATACGAATCAGTTAAATATTTTTTTGTACCTAAAACGTTAAAGATGCACATCGTTAATAAAGATATACATTTCCTAATCAAACTTCAAACTCCTTTTCTTTGCTATTTTGTAAAACAATAATCGTTTAACAAAGCGTTTAAGTGAACAATCAAATTAATCAAATGATTTATATGTCGTAATTGGATCGGAATTTTAAATTGATTCGGGATTTTGCAATTTCTAGTGTAGTTCTGTAGTCATTCGGCTTCAATGTATATAGACTCCGAACCCATATGTTGTGGAAACGGAATTTAAGTGGATTTGGTATAAAAACCCCCGTTTTGGGGTTGATTTTATCATATAAACACCCTAACCATAACCCTAATTTAACTTGGAAATTCCAATCCACTTAGCGTTAGATTCTACAACATGTATACGTACTCTTACATCATATACTGCATATGTACTGTATATACTGTATATACTGTTAAAGTCTTTTTCTATAACTATAAATCCATTTTTTACACACATGTAAACTTTATTATTAAATAATGTTAAGTCCGAATTATCCGAACTATTCAATAACCCTTTTTTTATCCTAATCACGTGCAAATGTATACTTACTATGTAGAAATGCATATCAGTATTAATGTTATAAAAAAAATAAATAAATTACTTTCGATTACTTTCACCAAGTATATTGACAACTAACCCAAAAAAATATATACTTGTATTTTTATTGTAGCATTGAATTGATAAAAAAATGCAATTGATTAATTACTATCTGAATGCGGTTTAAACTTTGTACATTAAAGAACAAATGTATTTGATGTGTTATGTATAGTACTGATCTATTATATTAAAATGACAATTTATAAAAAAAACTAATTGAATAATTGAATAATTGAATGATTAAAAAAATACATTAGAACCAATCGTCATGGTTCACGAATAGATAAATCTTTTGTAAAATAGATTTCAAAATTAACGTTTACTGTTTACGAGGTTTAAATATAAGAATAATAATCAACCCAAAAATCAATAATAATAATAAAAGTATTATTTTTCGATTTCTATTTCTCTTTTGATAATTGGCTCCCTATAATTTATATGTTAATTTTATAGAATTAATACATGATATATGACTGTATATGACTTATACGATGACTTATATATGATTAATATCAATTATATAAATAATTTAAATCTTACCCGATCTAGTTCTCTCGTAGCTCCCTTAACATTAACTACCATTTGTTCAACATTATAATCAATACGATCCAATAATGTACCTTGATCGATTACAAGCGCTTGAAGCTCATTAAATATTTCTGCTATTGTTTGTATTGATTTTGCAATTTCATTTATTTCATGTTCTCGTTGTGAAATCATTGCTTCGGATGATTCTACTAATGTAAGTTGATCATTTGTAAAACCCTAATAAACAAATTCTTGGTTATAATATTAAAATATATTAAAATACATATATTTATATATACATATATTTCATTTCTTACAAAGTCTTGTTCTTCATCTAAATCTCTACTTTCTATGGAAAATAATCCAGTACTTCGAACTTTCACTCCTTTAAGTTCTAATAATTTAAATTTAAAATTATATATTTATACATATTCTCATCTCAAAAGAATAATTAATACATACTTTTCATATAAGCTGATTGCTGCTTCCTAAAACTTGTTGATAATTCTTGTAATTTTATTGCTAACGAAATTTGAATATTTTTACTCATGGCTTGTTCTTGACTTGAAGCCGCCGTCCGACTTTCATCAGCAATTTGTCGGATTTTTTGTTGACATTGTTTAAAAAGCTATAAAAAACATAATAATAATAATCAATTGTTAAATAATTATTTATTATATATTATGTTGTATTTTGTTAAATCAATTAATCTTTAATTAATCTTTAATTACTTGTGTTATTTCCGATGATAAACGTTCTATTTCTCTTTCTTCTGCTGTTCGATCGTCAAATCCCGGCAGTGCATGTTTTCTATGTAATGATTCTAATGTTGGAACTATTGACCAAAAAAAAAAAAAAAAAGTTGGAAAAAAAAAAAAATAGATCACTTGAATATTAAATATTAAAAAGAAAAACTTACTAAGACTCTTTATTTGACTAATATCATCGTCAGCCTCTTCGACTATATCCACCCTTAAAAACATATATAAAATGTTAGAATACTATTAAATATTCAATCAACCATTCAACTAATATTCAAGCTTTACCATTTTGGAGGTAAAACCGAGAGTTCTATAACATGTTCAGAACCAGCTAATAAGCCAGCGCGATCTGAATCGCTCGCTAAAGACCGAGAGTTACTGGATCTCGCAAAAGAATTTCGATATTGTAAAAAGAGCAACGTACGGCTTCTTGTAGTCATCGAATTCTTTGTAATAGTTCATCAATATTTCTTCTTACATTACACATAAAACCTCAATTTTGTTTAACGTGCATACGTGGCATTATTTACATATCTTGATCCACGTGTTTCACGTGTACTAAATTATGAGTAACGGTAAATGCGTAGTATTCTGCAGAATTGGGACCGCAGGGGGTTTTTTACATTCTGTCGTCAAGCAATTGGGTAATTACTAGGTAATTACCCAATTACCCAATTGCTTGACGACAGAATGTTAAACATTCCCTGCGGTCCCAATTCGGGTACTCGTTTGCGGAACACAATTTCTGCGGTGATAAAATGTCAATTCCCGCAAAATTCTCGTTAATTCTGCGTTAATTCTGCGCTAATTCTGCGCTTTGTGTAAGCAGTGTTGTACACTGCCAAGGCCTTTTTGACTATGCCCAATGTCCAAATGTCCAAGTGTCCAAGATTGTCCAAAGCATTTCCAAGCTCTAAAATAATTAATAAAAAATATGATTACAGTCAAACCCCTCTATAGTCACCTCCTCTATAGTCACAAAACCAATATAATTACAAATTTATTGTTACCAATTATTTATAACTATATAGACAATACCTCTATATTAGTCACACCTCTTTATAATCACAGTATTTTGTATCCCAAAGGTGTGACTATAGAGAGGTTTGACTGTATAATAAATTTTTATTTATTAACAACGTAACTCGGAGCAACTAGGAATGTATATACAACACTCTCACGTCCAACATATTTACGACTTAATCTAGTTTTTCTTTCTCCTGCACGCCTTCCAAATACAATTATATCAGATAAATCATCAACCAATAATCTGTTTAAATTAAAGAAATTATGTCTCATCTTATGAATATTCACATCCAATTGAGTAGTATCAATTAAATCCAAATCCATTAATTTGTTATTATAGTATAAATCAGAAGTATGTAATCCTAATGATTTATCATTACCTAAATATTCACCAATTTTGAGAGGTAAATCACGAGAATTGGAATAAATAGTTATATGATTACAATAATTTATAAGCCTTGCATAATCTTTTTTAACAAATGTGTTGTATGATGCATCCGGATTAAGTAGTGTGAAAGTTGAAAGTTTCATTAGTAAATTTTTGGCCTTAGGATTATTATTGTCATTATTTGAACTTGCAACAGTTTGAAAAGTTTGAAATAATCCATCAAAAATTTTTAAGTATTCAAGTGCATGTGCACATCCCATTGAATGTGCCATAATATGTACATTACAAAAACCAGCATTACAAAGTCTTTGTAAAAAAGTTCGAAAATCTATATAAAAGAATTATTAAATAATTAAAGATTTAATGTATATATAACAGATAGTAATGCAAGATATTTAAGATATTTGAATGAGTAAATTACCATTTACGGCATCTTCAGAACTACCCATTTTTTTTGAACCAAAGTACCATAATGAATTTGCACCAGGAGGAGAAAATACAAATGGTTTTATGTAATTAGGTAAATCGGCAAGAGCTAGAAATTGACCTAATGTTTCCATTGCAAATATTGATGGACAATTAAATCCGTGAATGAAAATAATGCATTCCTGACAGTTTACAAATTTCTATAAGCAAACCATATATTAAAAATAAAGTCAATAGATTTGATTCTACGTATATGTTTACCTGAGAACTTCTAAGAATGCCATTTCTATTCATAGAACCTGACGAAATGCTACCTGATGGACGCCAATCGTCAATTTCAATAACGTAATCAGTTTTAGAAGAATCCAACTTATCCTTTATTGGCACTCTTCTAATAACTACCTCGTCCTTGGAAGTAGTTGAACTAACAGGAAAATAACCAGTGATGGCTAAACCATTATCAGAAAGTCTTATTATAACAGAAGAATGTTCCTTCACAGCAAAATCAGGACCCATTGCAGAAGCAAATGTTTTTAAACATCCGAGACAATATTCAATTGGAGATATATAACTCTCATTATCATCTTGAGAAGGATCTTCAAACTTTGGTGGTATAATCATAGTTGCACGTGGAAGATACTTTAGATACTTTCCAGAAACAGAACATTCAACAGACGCTACACTAGAATCAATTCCACTCTGATATGGATTAGGGAAAAGTCTCCACTCATCCCAAGTTGTGTGACGATTTTTCACTAGCCCTACACGAACAGAATGAAACGCGTCACCAGTTCCTGAACCTCTCGATTGAAATGGTCCAATAGGAATACCATGCTCCCAAATGCCTACAATAAAAAAAGAAACGATAAATGTTGATAAAAATGCTGATTGATAAATATATAAATATATATATTTATATTTATTATTTATAAATTATAAATTTATTTATTTATTTAAGTTCTGAAAAATAAACACACCTTTTAAACATTCACCATCGAATGAATCATCAACCCATTCACCAAGTCCATGAGGCAAACCATTTTCATCCACCTCACCAACATATTTGACAATACCATGCCTAAACCAAAGACTATAACTTTCCCAGCCGAAATATCGAAAACAGCCTACAGTATCGCCTTCAATACCTCTGGCATCATCTTGTTTAATACACCACCACCAAATAGTATCGAGCCAATAAGCGTCTTTTACTATCTTTGGATAACCATAACGTATTAATATCCATATTAATAATGTAAATGCTTCAACTATTCCAAGGATAATCAAAACCAAACGAGTTTCATATGTTGAAGCAAAACCTGATTTTTTTTCATTTATGATTGATCCTTGATTTATAATCAAAAGAATTATGGTAGCGATTGCTAGCCTTAATAATTTTCAATATTATACATTAGTTAAGTTTGAAAAGTTGAGTCACATATTTTAAGATACTAACCAGTAAAAACACCATCTAACGACTTCAGTTATCTAACGAAAATATTTAAACATAAATTATCAAGAAATACTAAAAATTAGGGTCATAATTTAAATAAAAATTTTGCCGTAGTAACAAACCTTGTAATAAACGTACATCATAACCAGAAAAAGAGCAAGCAAAGTTCCAAATTCGGGCCATCGTTTCCATGCACTGATATTTTCTAAACAAAAGCAAAATTGATTGCAAAATTGATTGATAATAAGTGAAATATATATATATAAGAAAATTGAAAAAATGTACCTAACTGTCCTCCAAGTCCGGCACCCATTAATGATAAGAATAACATCATAAACATTATAAACCAGAATATTCTTGTCAATGATCTTCTACGATATCTTCCTCTAGCTTGCCTTTCAGATTTTCGATAAGCCATTATTCGAAAAGTTTTGGCAATTTCCTGCGGCGTTAAAACGCGTCGTTGGACATTTCCGGTGTTTTCGATAAATTCATTATTATTATTTTCATAATTTTCAAATAATTCAATTCTTGAATGATATTTTGTTACATCAATGTCCATCGTTTTTTATTATAATATTTATTTATAAAAAAAAAAATATCAGCAAAAAAAAGTAAAATGCCAAGCAGGAAACCAATGATCCTTTTAAAAACCAACCAAAATATTTCCTGCAATGTTTATAATTTAACAAAGTGGCTTTCATGTGATTGTGAATAATAATCGACATAAGCATTAGCTATTTCATTGAAATTGCGTCATAAATAAAAATAGACTTAACCTAATTCATCATACGTATTCTTAACGGTAAACGTTAAGTGTTTATCATCCATGGAGATTTTTTTATTTCATAATTTATACTAACTACGTATAAGCCTTACACAATTTCTATTTCATAACATTTTTTATACGTACTCATATTTGATACATTTAATAATGATTTCCAAATAAGGATGTCATCACTGATTAATTTTGTTTTCTGATGTAAATTTTCGTAATGTTGGGTGATTATTAGGTTATAATTTTTTTATCGGTCTCTATAAGAACAAGCATTATTTTACTACGCAGATGTGTAAATTTGAATCTTTTAAATTCTTTTATTGAAATAAATGTTATCATCAATCAAAGGCTTAAATCAATCAACGTGGTACCCATTGTTGAAGCCACGATGTAAGTTTATAAATAAACCACAGATAAGAAAATAAGATAAAAAATATTACTTTTTTTTGAATTTCTTAGTAAGTAGCAGTAGGATGGCAAGCCAAGCTTAGCGTTATAAAGCTAACAAAATTTGAAAAAATGAATTTTTTAATATAAATAATTATAATTTCCTTTATTGGTACTTATGTATTAAGTGATTTTCAGCTTAACTGTTTATCGCATAATATAAAAATTTTTTGGTTAGTGGTACCAAGAAATAACAAGTTTTTTGAAAATCTGGAAATCTTAATACGTAAAAAGTCGATCTTTTTTCTTTGGTTACAAAAGAATGAAAACAAATGACATTATTGGCGCACCACAATTCATGTAGATCACATATTAAGAGTGTGACAAAACTTATGCGCTACATACGTACGTACGCACATGATGTTTAAAAAAAAATGGTGCCATTCAGTATTTTTAAAAATGTGGTACGCAATTACGTACGCTGTACATGTATTCGTATGATCTCTTAAAAAATTTCATGGGATTTTTGTTTATCCACAAAAAATGGCCTTTAAAAAAACCTCCTGACTCCATTATCCAGATTAACTGTTAAGAATTAACGAATTATGCACGTATGTTCGTATGTACGAAAATTTCAAACATAAAACACATCCATATAGTGCATAACCAATTTTTATAATGATATCGATATCATAATTTATTTTTTATAGATATTTGGTGCAGATGATTTTAAATATGAATGATGCCAAGGCAAAACCTGTAAGCAAATTAGAGTTGGTCACCGAAACCTTTTTTGCCAAATCCAAAAGTTTCAGGTTTCGGATTATAGTTTCCGAAACCTCGAAACCTCACCCAAAACCCGACACTCTTATTTATTTTCCTAACACATATATCAGTATACTATTTATTATTATATACATATTACAACTGTTTTT